TTTCTCCTCAGGGGGAGAGTAGGGTTGAGGAGAAACAGGCGGCTCAAACTCAACTACCTTCTTTACCCAATCCTCCTCCATTCCGTGTCTTTCATCATCGCCATAAAAGCCAGCAGAGTTCAAGAGCCGTGGAACCTGACACTATGCAACCAACATCATCGGATTCGCCAAAGGTAGATCCTTCTCATCAGCCAGGTACACTTGCTCCTATTGATATGTTTGTTCCTCTCAATGTTGATTCCCCTGTCATCAATGATCTTGATGTTCCTATTGCTAAGAGAAAGGGTGTTAGATCTTGTACCACTAATCATCCTATCTCTAATTTCCTATCCTATGATCACATTTCACCTCCATTTCGTGCATTCATCTCTTCTGTGGACAGTGTCCCCGTTCCTAAGAATGTGGCAAAAGCTTTATCTAAACCTGAATGGACAAATGCAATGCAGGAAGAAATTGATACATTACACAAAAATGACACTTGGGAGTTGGTGGATCTTCCTGAAGGGAAGGAACCAGTGGGTGTTCACAGTGAAACACAAGGCTGATGGAATTGTTGAAAGGTACAAGGCTAGACTGGTAGCAAGAGGTTTTACACAGGTATATGGAGTGGACTATGCAGAGACTTTTGCTTCAGTAGCTAAGATGAACTCTATCAGGATTCTTCTTTCATTGGTAGCAAATCTTGACTGGGAACTTCACCAATTGGACATAAAAAATGCTTTATTGAATGGTGACTTGGAAGAGGAAGTGTACATGACCCAACCTCTAGGTTTTTGTGCCAAAGGCAGTGAACAAAAAGTGTGCAGGTTAAAAAAATCTTTATATGGGTTGAAACAATCACCTTGGGCTTGGTTTAGTAAGTTCCACTTAGCAGTTCAACAGATGGGGTTCAAACAATGCTAGTCAGATCACACTCTATTTGTTAAAAAAGGTGAAAGGAAAATTGCAGCTCTAATTGTGTATGTGGATGACATAGTGATCATAGGAGATTGGGAGGCTGAAATACGGAGACTAAAAAAATTCTTAGCCACTCAATTTGAGGTGAAAGATCTAGACCCCTTACGTTATTTCCTTGGAATTGAAGTTGCTCACTCTCACAAGGGCATCTTTATTTCCCAATGGAAATATGTACTAGATCTACTAGAAGATACAKGCAAGTTGGGGGTAAAACCAATTGACTCACCAATTGAATCTAATCACCAGTTGGGAGATAGTCAGGGAGAGTTTTTGAAAGATATGAAGAAGTTCTAGAGACTCGTAGGGAGACTCTTGTATTTTTTTATGACTAGGCCTGATATTGCTTATGCAGTGAGTGTCCTTAGTCAGTTCATGCACAATCCTAGGACAACTCACTTTGAAGTTGCAGGGAGGATCCTTAGATACCTCAAGAAGTTTCCCAGAGCTGGTTTGTTGTTCCAGAAACATGGACACTTAAAGGTGGAAGTATATACTGATGCTGATTGGGCAGGAGCAGTTGATGACTGAAAGTCTACCAGTGGGTATTGTGCCTTTGTAGGAGGAAACCTGGTCACATGGAGAAGTAAAAAACAAAGTGTGGTGGCTAGATCTAGTGCTGAAGCAGAATATAGAGCGACGTCTCATGGGGTTGCTGAAATCATGTGGATAAGAAATCTGTTAGGTGAACTGGGTTTTGTAGTGAGCAACCCTATGTCACTCTGTTGTGACAATAAAGCTGCCATCAATATTGCTGTTAATCCAGTCCTGCATGATAGGACGAAACACATTGAAGTGGACAAGCATTTTATTAGAGAGAAACTTGTAAATGGAGAAGTGTGTACTCCATATGTCAGCTCAGAAGAACAACTTGCAGATATCTTCACCAAAGGTCTTTTTCATGTGTGGCACAATGATTTGTGTGATAAGTTGGGCATGATTGACATCTATGCTCCAACTTGAGGGGGAGTATTGAAATAATTTAGTTATTTGTGTTAGGGTCTGTTTGGCTAGTTAAAGTTTTTTTTTATTTTCTGTTATTGTACTCACTTACAGCAAGGGCACAAGAGTCTTTTTCCTTCTTATTTCTGCCGCCCTATATAATATAATAGAAGCTGGCACCACCGGTACTGTTCCATTGCTCCAAACCTTCTTCCTTTCTTTCTTCTTCTCTTCTCTTTTCTTCCCTTCTCTTCTCTACTTCCTCATATTTCAATCGGATTTATTTTCAAGAATTATTATTATTATTATTATTATTAAAAAGAAAAAAAATCCATTAGTAGATGAAATGAGAAAAATAACAAACTTGGGACATTACATTTAGAATAATGGAAAAATCTCACTTAATTTATCCAAAAGAAACTAAGAACTTGATTAGCCCTTTTTGCATTGAACTCTCTTAAAACACTAAGAAAGACCAATAGAGTTTGATTTGCCTTATTGGTTTTTCTTTTTTATTCTTTTTTATTTAGGCTGTAATTATTGAACTAATTTTACTATTTTTTCTATTTTTCTATATGTTTTAAATTACAAAAATGTATATTTTTGCATTAATTTACTAAGTAATCATTGATACTTGAGGCTTACGCCTTTTTACACCTCATGCCTTGAGGCTTGAGGCTTACACCTCATTCTAACAAAGGCTTAAGCTTCACATCAAAGTTGTGAGGCTTAAGCCTTGAGGCAAAATCTGTGTGCCTCACCTCAAGGTGTACGCCTCACACCTCAAGGCTTAAGCCTTTAAAACAATGCTCTGAGATAAGTAGCATGTAGTCTTCAAACCGGGGCTGGTGCATATTTTGTAAGTATAGGGCACAAGGGCCTTTTAGCACCTGAGGTGCAAAGCAAGGTGTGTGTCATTTTGAAGCCAGGCACAAAATGCAAACCTAAAATTTAAAAGAAATTAATTGTTTTAAAAACCTTATTATTTCTTATTAAAATACATAAACTGAAAAATATAATGTTTAAAACTTATTTTTGAGTGAAAGCAAAAATATTTGGATTGTACTAAGAGTTTCAAGCACTCAACAATTCTAGTATGTGAAACTTTCTAACCCTAGGAGACCAGCCCTTCATCTGTGAAATCCCCTTGAGGCAAGTCAACAAAAGAAAATGTTGGGGTTTAGGGCTTGCCCCCCCAACCTAAATTTTTGTCTTGTGAATATAAAGAGATTAGTGTTGTGATTTTAGCCATAGTTCATTCTATTTTTGGATTAGGTATCATATGTGAGTTGTACTATTGTTGCTTCTTTAGTAAAAAATATGCTATTTGAGATCCTATTTGTAAGAAATAAGACTTACAGTTAACCTTTTTATACAGTTAATACAATATACTTCTACTCAAAAAATATTATTTGAATGGTCTTTATTTTTTTATTTTAAAAATTAGTAGACTATTACTAGTGCAGAAACAAATAAAAAATTTAAGGTAATGCAGAAGTCAATAAACTATTACAAAGGTGTAAAACACAAGAATCTAATAAAAAGCAATTTTAAAAAGATGCACACCTGGACTGAGGCCAAAGGCACACCAGGACATGCCCTTTGAGAGGGGCTGTGCCTTGGTTTAGGTAAGGCACATGCTTTGAAATGTGCCTCACTTGTGCAACTAGGTCCACCATAGGTGTGCTTTTTAAGACACTGGGCTGGTGGAATTCTTCATTAACTCGAGGCTTTTGCTTCCAGGCAAGGATCAAAATTTTGACACGATATGCCTTGTATCGGGCGTATCACATCATATCTTTTGGTTCCCGATACACCTGTTTTACTGGTGTTTTCGGGAACCCATTCTTTTTTAGAATTATATATATATATATATATATATATATATATATATATATTTGAAGATATATCTTGATGTACATTATTAGTATAGCCCTTGTTGTACAGTATATATATATATNTATATATATATATATATATATATTTGAAGATATATCTTGATGTACATTATTAGTATAGCCCTTGTTGTACAGTATTCTTATTATTTTACTTGTTCTTTTTATCTGTCCTATCGTTCAAAGTGCCGATACACAGAGGTGAATCGATACTTTGTCATTGATTTAGCTAGCTCTTAAGCAGTTTACCCAAATGTTAGATTAATATGGATGCTTCACAAAGTGGCAATTGTTTTTCATTGTAACCTGTAACCTTACCTGTGGTAGGTTGTGATTCTACCTTCTCGTTTTGCATCTTTTGTCCTCCTCTTAGTATAATGCTCCAATTATTTAAAAATGAAAATGAAAATATGATGAATGAAAAGGAAAATATGGTTAATATTTCAATTGGTTCTAGAGTAGTAATGATAAAAAAATTGATTCTAGAGTTGCCTGCTATCTAGTCAACATAGGTTTTGTCTGGTAAAGATGTAGCATAAAGATTTGCAGCATCATGTAGTGTCGTTAGTAAATCTGAACAATCATTGTAGTCATTTTTGTGGAGTGTTATGTTTGTAATGAAAGTTAGCAAAAATTAGCATGGTTAATTATGCTCCCATTTGGTGCCAATGGAGATGCATTGACCAATTTCGGACAACATAGGCTGTGTCTCTACCTGCATACATATGATGCCTACAGTCACTGATTTCTGTGACGTGGACTAACAAGGAAAATTTAGGCACAGATTGAACATCCTCTGAATTGACAATGCAATAGCCCTGCCCATGTAAACCAAATATCTTAACCTTCTATTGCACTTTCTCCACAAATAACGTATTTTAATTTTCTAGGATATTTTCAAATAACATGGGTGAGAAAAATGCCATCATTAAGGAGATTATTGCACAAAAGCACTTAACTTGAAGAGTTTAGTAGTGAAATGCACCCTCTCATTTTGAGCTTCCACCTTAAGCTACTGCAAAATAAAATGCAGAAGCAAAGATGGTGAACTTTCTTTGCCTAAAAAGCAAATCTGGCTTCTTTCTCTCTTCCTCTTATACAGGACATTTCAACATTACGTAAATAAAGTGGTAATAAGTGAAGGAAATGGTATTTAAGGTTATGCATTTCAGCTTTTATTAATTAACCTGAAAGTGTGCTAATTTGCAGATTCGACTCACGGAAGCTCAACAGCAGAAAACTGATCAGAAAGATATGAAGCCAGAGCAGTTAGACAAGGTGGCAAAATTAGAAGGTTGGCGTCAGGAGCTAAAGATTCTGGAGGAGAAGAAAGCAGAACTTGCAGCATCATGAGGTGAAGATCGTGATTGTCTGAGGAAACCGTGTAGTATCTCTTCTGTATGGGTTCTAATCCTTCTTGGGCATTTGGAGGATCCTTTTCTGTTTGTTCTGGTTGTGAATGGACTTCTAGGACAACAATAAAAATTCAGTGTTTGTGAACGAACCTGTTTCTGATTGTTTAAACTATTCAGACTTCTCTACCATTGCCATTTAAGCGATTTTCTTTTTCTTTGTAGATCTTCAAAGATATTAGTTCTTAAGTTCTCTGAATTACTTCCAACTCAAGCTCGTTTTTGGATCAGATAATTAAGTACACTTCTAAGATGGTCCTTGTTAGGAACTCACCATTTCAAGAGGGGTAAAACATGGAAGTTGCGGAAAAGGGAGTTCGTTTGCCATTGGCAGAATGATGGGTTCCATTATTGCAGGCCATTCTCATCTCTTTTAAATCATGAATCTCCCTCGCATGAAGGAGTGGAAGATGAATTCGGCTTCGGTCAGGTGAAGCCCGCTCCAACAGCCTTTACAGCCCTGACAGAAGATGGGGCCATGTCTTAGAYTCATGCAACCCAACATTTAGAGCATCAATGTCTTTAGGCTATAGTCTCCCACCATTCAGATATGTGACATTTTCATTTTTCTAAAAAGTTAAAACACGAGGCATTTTTTAAGAAGTTGTGAAAGTCCATAACCCATTACCACCATTCAGACAAGTGGTCTTCTCATTTTCTAGAAAGCTAAACACATGGCAATTTCTGAGAATTTTCTGTTAATGCCCACAACCCACTACCAAGCTACAGCCTCTTACCATTTAGACATGTGACCTTTCTCATTTTTCTTGATAGCTAGACACGTGGCATTTTCTGAGTTGCTTTTTAAACCCACTACCACCATTTAGACATGTGGCATCCTATTAATTCAAGAAATATGATTCAAAAAGAGGGTAGTTTCAATCCTAAACATTCTTAATAGACATTTATTTATTAGTTTAACACATGTTTATCCATAGTCTATTAAATACAAATGGTGGGACCCATTAAAAGATTACCATAAACCTAAGTTTATTTTTAAATGATTTTTTTTCAAAAAGAAAATACTTTATTAATTACAAACTTGATTTAACTTTTAGGAAGCAACCTAATTTAACTTTTAAAATTAAATAACTCAAAATAGATATATTAGATAAATAGTAAATACTAAATAAAGTGGGTTGTTGTTTACAAATAAGATCTCATTTAATATCTTAAATCAAATTAAAAAAAAAAACATAAATTAATAATGGTTTTCAAATAAAATAGGTGAGGATAGATTGTCAATTACAAAGATGCAAGACCCATATTAGTTTTTTTTAATTTATTTTTTGATAACTAAATAGTAAACTTCAAACTAAATTATACACACATTTAGTTACCCCGTACTAAGTACGGGGGTCATTCTCTAGTTGGTAGATAAAAGCTAATACATAGTGGTTTCTCGAGGTTATAAGCACGAGTACGGGTGTAATTGAAGCAAGTAAAGTCGAGGAGTGGGCTACTCGAGCTTGACTTTGACTCATAATCTAGAGCTTGAGTCGACACCTGCGAGCTATCGAGGTTGGCTCAACTCAAACTGATTATAAATAAATTAATATTAAAAGTAAAAAATAAATCAATATCAAGAATTAATATTTATTCATATTATAAATTATTGACAATTAATTTGGCCACAAGGGAGGAAATCGAAAGTTGTTGGAGACGTCGGTTAATAGGGAGCCACCTTAGGCTTAGAGAGTCACCTCTGTTTGGCACTTCGGCTGTTAAGGGGGACCTGCGTTCAGAAGAAATGTCAGAGGCCTTGGGGTGATATCCCAGAGGTGTGGACTCTGATGGTTAAGTCAGTAATGCCAAGAAAAGACGAAAGAGAAGACTTGGAGAGCTCTTGAGACGTGTTATGAGATGAGGTGATGTGATGTGAAGTGTGCCAAGGTGTCCAATGTGTGTAATATCGAGTGTAATGCAGTGTTTTGTTGTGTGGTTAAACGAAGAAGGGGCTCACCTATTTAGAAGGGATGGGCTTCATCCAAGAATCGACACGTCGCTCACATGTGGTCAAAGCTCAGCCCACTTGTTATGTTCGTGGTTGACATGCTGTGTAATATGTGTGTATACGTTGTATGCACGTGGTAGGTAGAAGTACTTTTATGAAAGTACTTTTATGAAACACTTTTACGAAAACACATTTACGAAAGAACTTTTACTAAAGTAATATTATAAAAGCTCTTCTACGAAAGTAATTTTATAAAAGTGCTTTTACAAAAGCACTTTTATAAAAGCACTTCTATGAAAGTACTTTTATAAAAGTACTTTTACAAAAGCACTTCTATGAAAGTACTTTCACAAAAGCACTTATACGAAAGTACTTTTATAAAAGCACTTTTACAAAAGTACTTTAAAAGCACTTTTACAAAAGTACTTTAAAAGCACTTTTATAAAAGTGCTTTTTCAATGCCAAAAGGGTATATTTTTGTAATTTTTAGATTTTCTTTTATATGTTGTATTTTTTATATAATTTTTGATATTTCATTCAGTTTGAATTGGATTCAATATAGTCCATTTACATTTTAATGGATTGGATTGGATTTGGACTGGATTGGGTCTAGTCCATTTGTAAGTTAACTCACATTGGACTGGATCGGGTTGGACCAAATCCAGTCCAATTGACACCTTTAGTGGTAGGTAGTGAGTCTACATGGAATGTGTTGGCGTTGATGTTCTAATCAGTTCGACCACGTACATTCATATGGATGTCCACATGTTACTTGTGCATGCTATGAGCTAGTACCAGGTTAGTTCAATGAGACTAGGTCGGCTTGGCTAGGTTAGGTTAGCTTGGCGAGATCAAGTTGACTTAGTTAGGTTAGCTTGACTGATTAACAACTTTGCGCCCAGCCTGTTGCCTCTAGGTGATTTCTGATTGGTGGTTGGTTTTGGCCGTATCATAAGTCATCATCATCATCATCATCCATGCTTTAACCCAACTATATGGGGTCAGGTACATGAATCCTTTTTCGCCAATTTAATCTATTTAAAACCATATCCACTATTAAATAATTAGTGCTTGAATCATTTCTTACTACTACTGATGTCTTTTATTCTCTCATCTTATTGCTAGAACTACTCGATTTTTTGTAGATGGCTTCATTTCTGGTCTTATCTTTTCTAGTTTTTCCATTCATCCATCTTAGCATTTGCATTTCTGTTACACTCATTATCAGTGCTTAGCAAATCGAACTGGACTAGCTAGTTAGATCGGTTGAACTGTGATCTTGCCCTACATTTGGTTCAATCATATCCTAGAAACCAAAATTAGTAGAAAACCACCCAAAATTGGCTAATTGGTTGGTTTAACCAAAAAACCAATGAGCTGATCCTCGTTTCTTAAAATTGTTCATGTCTCAAATGTGTGGAATTTTCAAAATGCAAATGGCAAGATTCAAACCCATGACCTTTCTTTCCAAACCATTAATCCACTTCATTATTTATGTTCACTTATGAATATTTAATGTATTTCAAAGAAAATGTGAGTTGGGAAGTTGAAACCTGGGCAATTACTTCAAAAATTAAACAACTAACCATTTATCCATCATATTTAAGTATAACCTAATTTTCATAATATATTATTTATAGTATTTATGTGTAATGCTCTGCTCCATACAATATAATTGGCCTTAAAACTGTTTCATAAAATTTTTCTTTTGATAAACTCTGGGTAACATCTTCCTCAGTCTCTTCCTTATTTTGAATTATTGAACCAAGGTATTTATTAATATATGAATATATTTAAAAATTTTAATATTTCATTATAAACTCAATTAGGCTCGATTAAGTTTTAATTAGGTATTGTGAACCTCGAACTTGATTTGAGTTGAGCTCGACTCGATCTCAATTATTATCTTTGAGTACTTAGCGAGTCGAACTTGAGTAACTTACAAATAGTTTGGCTTGCTTATGGGGCACGGGTGGAATAATCCAAACTCCATTCCGTTTCATCTATATTCATCGTATCAGTGAATAAAAATCTGACAAGTGTTAATGCTATGGGTATATTCAATGACACTCTCATTAACTCATCTATTCAAATCTAAATTTTGAAATATACAAGTCATCAGAACCTTTGCTCTATCTTGTGGTGTTAAATTTGCTCCCTTGATCAACCTCTCATTTTTATGGTATAAAAAATGAAAGATCAAAAAACCCACCACACCATGCTTCATAATAGGCATTATGGATTAAATTTTAACCTTCAAACATTTTCTCTTATTATACTGTGCCTATCAAAAAGTCAAAAAAAAAAAACAGAATTAATTGGTTAAATATTAAGAAGAATTATATAACAATTCCTTTAGATAAGTTCATTTTTCTAATGCTGTCTGCTCTAGTTTTTCCACTCATCATTCTTAAGGTTTGTATTTCTATTGCATTCATTTTTGACATGTTTCTTAATTGTCTACTACCACACTAATTTTATATCAAAACCAATGTTTTAAAAACTGACTTAGGACTGAACTGTTTTTGCCTCTCAGTCATGGGTTACTAATTCAACAATCCATGTCGAACAGATTAGGTGATTAGACATCAGCAAATTATACATATATACATACATACATATACATGTAATATATGTATATCTAATTATTATTTTATGTTTAGTTTATATTTTTATTTGTAAAAATATTAAAAATTGGGTATTGAGGGAAAAATGTTTTTTCTGACAAAAATAATGGGTCAAGATACCTTCAAACTTCTGTGGCACAGGTCTCTAAAAGTGACCCAAAATTAGATAAAAAAGATCACCTCAATCGGACATCCGAACACAAAATTATAACATCTAAAAGTTTACACATACATTGAGTGATTGAATGTGCAACTCGTGACTGAGTGACGAGGTCGAATGGGCAACCATCCATCTACCAAGGTTGCATCTTAGGAAGGTAGCAATCTGATCTCGCTACCCCAGGTAAAGTTGCCCATTTTTCAGGAACCCCTGTTGGGCTTGGTTTTGGGCCATGGGCAACCTGACCCAAATCATGTAAAGTCTTTTAATGTATTTTGCTTAATCATCATTACAGTTTAAGCTTTTATCACAGTCATATGGGGTTAGCAGCGTTGGCTACAAGAATTTTGTTCTGCTATTTCATTTAATGTCACATCTATTTTAAATTATGGGTATTTAGAGCATTATTTTATTAGTTTGACCTATCTCCTTTTCTTGTTTATCTCTAACCCTTTTAGCCCCTTTAACTTGCAATAGATCACTTCTTATGTTTATAGGTGCCGTTGTTGATCGTCTTCTATACACATGAACAAACCATCTATTTCGCTTGCTGATTATGTATAAAAAATTACAAATAAAGATGAGCAAGTGAAAAAGCACTATTGTTTTAGACTTTTAGATTAGGCCTCATGGTTCATGAAATTTGAGAAATACAAGATGGATATTATTCGTTTAGTACATAAAAGAAAAGGGTTACAATCTAAATGAGGGAATTAACAATGAGTTTGAAGTCCTCAAAACTAACAGTCCCATCTCCATTCACATCCATGGAGGCTATGATCTCCTGGCAATCCTGGAAGGACAACCCAATACCTATATCGCTCACAACTTGATGCAGCTCTTGGGCTGTCACAGCTGTGTTGTTGCCTTGAACTTCCAAAGTATCAGAAGCAGTTTTAAGGAAAGTTGCCATGTCCCCCATCTCCATCTCCATCTCTCTCGTATTCATCTCCACGAACTCCTCTATGTTCAGAAGCCCGTCCCTGTTTTTGTCGCCCTCTTGCATCATTGCCTTCACTTCTTGTTCGCTTGCGCAGTAACCAAGTGAGCCCATGAGCCCTCCCAGCTCTGCAGCAGTGATTAACCCATCGTTGTCTGCATCAAAGGCTCTGAAAGCCTCTACGAGGCTCATAACATGGCTCATCATCTCTGTCTGAGAGGATAGCGATCCAAGCTGAGCCATGGATTTGAAATAGAGCTCATTAGTCACTAATCTAACCTTATTGTATTTGCAATGTTGTATACTTGTCGACCCTTTAAATAGAGAGTCCTTGCTAGGGGGATTCCTGTTATTATTCCTTCCTGGTATCTCCTTTATGTCGACAAAAATCTAGAGAGGTTCTTTGTTACCCAAAAAAGGGAGGTTCTTATTCCCCATTATCCTCAATATAGCACTATACTAGACTACTTTGCTTGTGTCTTATCCATTGCTGACGCCCCAAATGAGGAAGGGAGATAGGTAAGGTTCAAAGTATCGATACGTATTGGCTAATATGTATCATTTCGGGAGCTTCCCAATATGCCCCTACAGAGGCTGTATCGGGGTTCTGACCGGTTTAAGGGGTAGATGAGCCTTAAACCAGCCCCCTTGAACCGATTTTGAAAAAAAAGTAAAATAACACTATCGATATTGCCCAATACGCCCCTACCAGCATATCAGACATATCGGTATTTAGAACCTTGGAGATTGGTGTGCTTCCTTTGTTTCAAGTTGACAAAAAAACATTATTTGCATAGTGCAATGCATGAACGTATATATTGGGATGAGTACTAGCTAGGAGGATCCATGCTTTCTTTGGCTCTTTGAAGCTTCAGTAACAGTATATTTTTCTGCCATTTTTTCCTATGAAAATCTGGTTGGTAAGAAAAACAAAATGCCCTGCTATTATTGATCAAGGAATTGACCATTAAAAGATAACTAAAGAAGAAGAGATTTACAAAAGCCAACCAATCTTTAGAGCTAGGAAATTAAATTGTGAAGATGGAAAGTTCATGCATATGTCCAGAACTTGGGGACTCAAGAAAAGAAGCCCATAAACATAGCAGCTATACTGGTTTCACTTAAAGGCCCAACTGTTAATAACCCAACCACGAACCATGAATCTTGATGCACCCTTTTGTGTTAATTTATCATATTCTAAACATATAATCATCATAAGCCCATTCAAGCTATCCCTCATACACAGCTACCAGAATCTGGTTAGTCATAAAAAGAAAAGAATTAAATGGGTTAAATGGAAACCAGCTCCAAGTGATGTTATCAAGATGAACTTTGATGCAACAAGGAAAGATAACGGTCAGAAGGCCTTAGGCTGTGTGGGAAGGAATGACCAAGGAAAAATGTTCTTCTTCCTACCTAGCTCAAAAAATAGGATTAGTATTATCACTGTCTATGTAATAATTAATTAAAGCGGCAAAGCAGTTACGAGTCAAAAAAAAAAAAAAATCTTGAAGGAGATTCAAGCTGATCAATAATCGTCTAAATCAAATATCAAGTAGCGTTAAGCAAGAATCTCTTCGAATAGCAAAGAGGAGGAGATGAGTATTAGCCCTCAGCCTATGATTTTTGAAAAAACAAAAAATAAAAAATAATTAAAATAAAAATGACCTCAAAACCATTTATTGGATCAAATTGTTTAGCGAATCAACCTTTTTTGGACTCAAAATACAATTTTTAATTTTTTTTTTACAAATAAATAATACATATATTACATATAGAACAAAATTATATATTATTTATTGAAAAAACACATGTTTATACATACCTATACATATACATATGTATGTATGTATGATTTAGGTATTATTGATGTGGTATGGTCTGACCCATTACCCATATGGTCAAACAGGTGACCTATGACTCGAAGACAAGAACGGTTTAATCTTCAAATCGGTTTTTAAAACATTGGTAAGAGCAGTTTAGGATTTTAAACATGCTTAACCAAGCAACATGACAATCACGTAGAAATTTTTATGTTAATTGATGAATTGTTAAGACAAAGTGTTGGAAGATTTTATCGCAAATGAAAATATAATTTAGGGTTCTTCTAAGTGTCACTACTCCCAAAGGACAGGGTAGCAACCCCAAATTTACTACTTGTTCCCTACCCCAACGAGTCCATTTCAGATCTTGCTCCCATATGATATCTAGGGTTCTCCTCAATAAGATAGTGGACTCCACACATGTATCTTGGATCTTCTAAATATCTGTTTGATACAACGACGTAAATGGTGAGTCTTTCATTGAGCAAGTCTACCCAATAATGCTGAAAGATATCATGTGAAAGAGGGTGAAACATCTTGAGTGTCGGTTGCTGCATCCAGGTCTACATCCTCCTAAAATTTGGCAGTTTGATGAGGAATTAAGATTCCTCAATGAAATAATTGATTTCAATCAATTGTAACATTTCGGAAAAGTGGATGAACCCTTTCAACACAAAATGAGGCCTTGCCCAACATCTCTATCTCTATCAGTACATGATGCACCACCATTTATCTCTCCTATACTTGACTTGACCTTAATGATCTAAAAATGGTTGAAGCCATTAAAAGAGGTATATACTCCACATTTCATGAGATATGAAAGAAAGGTAAGAGAAAACTAGCAATTAAAGTAGTTGGCTTGTTCCAGTCGTGACCTGTCCCACTCAAGAATCTCACATCTTTATCCAAATCTATCCTAACCTCATCTGAACAAGCATCTCTTCTTTTGACCATCGTTTTCAAAATCAGATCAGACGGGACAGTCGGGCCAAAAAAATCGGGAATCAGTCAGATGACTAATTTCGTTTTTCTCCAAAACTGAATATTTGTAAAAAAAGATGTTGATTTAATCAATAAATCGCTGATTCGAGCAGTTGAACCGTTCAACAGTTTTGACTGGATTTTATTTTTTATTTTTATATCAGAACGGACCGACCATTCAACCCAGAAACCGAACCCTGACCGATTCAGTCTCCAGGTCAATTTTAAAAACCTTGGTTTGATGAAGAATTAAGATTCTTCAATGAAATAAATGATTTCAAGAAAATGAGAGTAAAAACTGAATGTGAAAACAGACTGCAAAATTCACTATCCTCAATTCGATTGTCACAACATTAGTAAACAAACTAGTGTATATAAAGATCACCGATTCACCATTCATCATATATTAAGGAGTTTCATCGCTTAAAAATAAAATAAAAAGAGTCCCACCACCTTTGAGATTCACCCACATTTTACTTTTCAAGAATCCAACAAGAATATTCATTCAAACAGTCCAAGATTCCTTATTTTCTTTAATGCTGGTCTAACTTCAAGATTGACATTGGGAAATAAGCTTTTCAACTAATAAATATGATGGGGGCACTCTGGGTTTATTCTAGCCAGATGTTTTCACTTGTTCATGCTTCACCTGTTTCAACAATTTTTAAAAGCAAATATGCTATAAACAAAAAAGGTTTGTATTTTCACTTTGCTTTAGCCTGTAAGGGGACAGTTTTAGGAATCCGAATCTCTTACCCACAAAAGCTATATCCACACCTACGCATGAAACACTACTTCCGTGCATGCATTCGAAGCATTTATCATGTATAATAACATGTAAAAGCATAAAATGTTCCTCATGTGTAACTATGATCTCAGGTGCGTAGGTGTGGACTTCGGATCTTCTGCCTACGAGAACTTTGCCTATGCCTACCCACAATACACTATCCCCATAAATTGGGAATATTTTTCTCTGCATAATACTATGTAGAGGATGAGATGTTCTCCATGTATGGCTGTAATAAATATGGGCAGAGTTCTCATGGACAGGAGCACTGTTTTCAAAATCGGATCAGATCGGACGGTCGGACCGGAAAATTGGAAACCGGTCACTTGATCAGTTCCGTTTTTCTCCAAAACCGCTTTTTCCCTTAAAACCGTTGATTATGGTCAGAAAACTGCTGAACTGACCGGTTAACCGTTCGAACGGTTTTGACCGTTTTTTAATTTTTTTTGTTAAAACGGACCAACCGTTTGAGTCGAACAGTCAAACCATTCGAACAGATAACCGGACCCCTGACTGATTCGTTTTTAAAAACCATGGGCAGGATATCTGGACTCGTAGGTGTGGGTAGAGTCATTGCGGATAAGAGATCTAGACGGGTGCAGCTATCATAGATGCATATAAAGCATATCTAAAGCCCTTAATAATATCAGATTGCATTTTTTTTTTCAGCCAAGGCAATTTCGTTCAACAAACAATTAGGTCTCAGTACAGTCAGCCCAAGGGTCGTCAGACATAATGAACTTAGATGGGTCCTCTATGACTCAGACTGGCCCAAATACAAAACATGAATAGGGCTAGAATATTCCAAAATTCCATGAGTACGACCGCAGCTGCAAAGAATGATCAGTAAGAAGTTGGACAATCCTCAAAGCGTCACCCTTACTCCCTTACGCTGTGTTTGGTTTAAAGAAAAAAATAGGGAACCTATACATCTTTATCTTTCCCTTCCTTCTCATACTTATATTCTGGGCCCACGACCTGAAGGGGCCGAGGCTCAAGCATTTCTATTTGATACACTCTGGGCCCACGACCCCAAGCATGAACCAGGATAATTAATCCCCATGAATGGCAGCTCCACTAAGGAACATAAAGCATCAACATAACATTTTAGCTTAGCAGCAATCTCTGGAGGTCCGTCTCAATGTTAAATTCGATGTAGAGTTGGCAATTGGGTTGGGTGGGTTGGGTTCGGGTTCAGGTTGGTACAAGGCTCTTATGGTTGATTTTGGGTCGGGTTGAATTTTGGGTTGGATTGTCAAGTGTTAGGCCCTAATCTTAAATGTTTGGGTTAGGGTTGACCCATGGGTCAATTTGGATCATCCCAAAAAATAACTGAAATTTAAAAGAATAAAGAAAAACTACATGAAAAATGTCAAAATTAGAAGATTCAACCTTCAAATTCCAAATATAAAATAAAAAAAAAAAAAAACTTCAACATTTAACAATTTAAAGAGTAAAAAATAAAAGAGTAAAGATTGAAAAGAAAAAATTAAAGAGTGGAAACTTCTAATAATACATAAATAGTCCCAATTAAACTTGACAATCGAGTCAGCTGATTGACCCATAACCCAACACAACCCAGTTTTTTTGGATTGGATTGGGTCGGTCATTCTAACGTTCAGGTGGATAAATATGAGACCCTAACCCTGTTTTTTTGGGTTGGGCTAGGTCGAGTTCACGTGTTGGATCAAGTATCTGATTTCAAATTAGA